TTTTCTATTACACTGCAATGCCTCCGTATATGGGCAAATTCCCTTCATCCTCAAATCTCAGTTCCACTCCACTTCCATGAATTCTTCCCCAACTATTCTGGTCATTCACTGGTATTCCCTGTCTACTGAGCTCCCACAGAATTTATAGCCCATGCCACACATTTTATGTACTCAGAGTGAGTCCATTAACTCTTCTTTTAGACATAATTCTAACACATCTGGGTATCTGTCATCTCAGCCTACAATAGACTAGAAGCTGCAAATCAGGGAAGAGAGAACTAGGTACCAGAGGTAGACATAACAGCAATGTAAATTCTTTGAGTCCAGGGACCTTGTCTTATTCTTTCACTGTAGTCTTAGGATCCCTAAAACTGTGCAGAATGCAGTGTAAGTCCTGAATAAATGCATGCTAATGGGTTAACCCCTCCCCTCACTGAGACAGATGCTCAAAGACTTTATGCATTCAATGCCATTTTTCTCACTGGCAGCTTTTACAAAAGAAACAGGGTCAGTTCATGACTTGCATTCATTCCTTCTGAGGGCATTTGTTGAGTGGACACTGCGCATTAGATATCCATCCCTAAAATTTGAATGATAGAATACAGTGAAGAATGTTCAAGTGGAAGTTAAATAAAAGCCAAGGGATGTATTTTACTCTAATGTAGCCTAGTATTTACATTTACTGAGAATCTAAAATGTGATGGGCAATTAAAAACCTCAGTATACTTGTCACTACCTTTGAGGATATTAAAAAAATAAATTAGACAAAGACAAACATTCCTGGAATAGGAAAAAAAAACATGGTGATGGGAGGTGGGGTGCTGAACCTAGAGTCAGCAGACTGGGATTTAGTTACTGGTTCTGTCTCTTACTAATACTGTGACCTTTCTAAAGTTCCATTTCCTCATCTGGAAAATTAAGACAATATGATTCTTCTCACTTTAATGTGAAGACTAAAAGAGTGCATTCATGTTTGTGTAAACACTCCACAAGGTCTTATTGGGATGTGTCATCATGAAATGAAAGTAACCTTGAATTCTCAGACTAGGCCAATGGATTTCAAGGTCTTGAAGGTTCTCTCGTGCTGAAAAGGCATTGATTACACTCCTGACAACATACTGTATCTGTTTTCCAAGGCTTAGCCTACCTAAGTTCAAAGAGGTTCATCACCAGAGGCTAGACACTTGATGATGAATTTTTTGGGCCATGGCAACCCATTAAATAAAGAAACAAAATGAAATTCAGAGCTAGGTGGACACCTTCCACTTCTACAGTGCCCATGACAACATGGTAGAAAAGAAGAATGGGAGGGATTTAATATTTAGACCATTAATCATTATTATTCATTATTGGTATTTACAATGTAAGTTACTTGTCCAATGACCAATTAGTGGCCATACTGATAGAGAAAGCTAATTTCAAAAATTGCTTTCTTATTATGAATGAAACCAGGAAAAAAGAGGAAAGATGCAACAGGAAGGAAGGATGTTTTATAGGTTCTTCTTGAAGAGATCAATAGAGAAGTTATTGGAGCTGATTTTCCTGTGTTCAGATAAAACAGGAAATGTGATTTTATTTGACATTTGTTCATTTGCAATGAGTGTGATAAGCATTTGTAAAAAAAAAAAAAGATAACATGAAAAGAATTGTAGCTTATATACCAACATCTGTTGCAGAGAATGAGCAGAGAAGACTATCAAATTAAAACAACACATACTTTAATCTTTCATGGCTTTAGTGCAAAAGTGAACATGAGAAATGGCCAAAAATATTTTGGAAGCTAAGGATCCAAAGTAATGAATGAGATAAACCAAAGACATGTGGATTATATAAAACCCTAACCTTCATATGTCAGACATATCTTTTCCATGTGAAAACAATTGGAAGGCTTCAAACACAGCAAAGAATGGATATTATAAAAATAAAAAAGATTGTATTTTAACAGATAGAAAATGAATCATTTCTTGTGTGCAAGTACTTGCTCAATCAGATATTTGTTTGCAATTCCATCATCCATTTATTTAAGCAAAGATCACCATATATTCAAATGTAGAAGAATAAAATTATGGAAAAAGCAACAATTAAAACTCCAAACCCATGTATATTAAAAGTTATTGATGACAAAATTTGAAAAATGGATGGAAGAAAAGATATTGAATTAAATTAAGATAATTTCAAAGAAGTTTGGCTTCTTTTATACAGAAGGTAAACTCATAGAAATCAACAACAAATAGAGTAAAATAACTGAAAAAAAAATATCTTAGTCAACAGATGCCAATTATCTGCGGAAGCTACACTAGCCAAAGAAAATGCCAGTTTAGAATGGAAAGTGGTTGTAAAATTTTATGATGAAAGTGGGTTGATTATGAGCAATATTGCCTCATAAGACAATATAAAGCATTGATGAAAAATAGTTTAAGGAAAACTCAGTGGGAAAGCTAAATAAGCAAAGTAATCCTGAGAACTCTTAAAGACGAAACTGGAATGAAGATTTCAAAAATAGATTAAATATCAAAAAGGATCTGTAACAATGTTATAGTATACATTTCATCATGGAGAATAATGAAGCAACCCATTTGGATTCTATCATCATAATACTAAATTTGCTTAGAGAGGCGGTGAATATGTCATTGTAGAAAACTAAGATGGGAAAAGCATCTGGACTAAATAAATTATAAAAGAAGGAGGCCAACAGTGAAGGTAACACAGTTTCAAAGATATGAAGCATTGACTTAACAAAATCCTAAAAGGAAAGAAGATATCAATAAATTAACATATATTAAGTGCCTACTATGTTCCAGGCACTGTGCTAAGTGCTGAGGATACCAAAAAAAAAAAAAAGATAGTTGTTTGGAACAGAGACTAAGACAAGTGAATTATGAATTATCCAGCAAGGAAAGAGGTTGAGAAGCTTTGATATATAGCCCCCAGGGAAACCACAAGAATCAGAAAGTGAGCAACAGGAGAAAATAGAGAGGAAAGGTGGGGAATGAAATTACTAAAGATCGCAGGAGGTAGAAAACTCAATTAAAGACCTTGAGCATAGGCAAGTAAACCAAGGGAATTAATAACAGAAGAGAATGTGGCCACCAGGTGAGGTAAAAGATTTCAAGCACATGTGAACAAATATTGCAAGACAAAGAAAAATATATTAACAGGCAGAGGACCTCGTAGATATTCAAAAGAGCCTATAAATACAGCTGCTGTTCCTGAATGGTTTTAAAAGAAAAATAAGAATTGTAAAAGTTCAGTTTATGGCCTGAACCACAAAAATAATTGGCATAATAGAAAAACGTGAATCCACAGTGCTAAGGCTCACAAAAGAAACAAAAGAATAACTCATTAGGAATTCAAGTACACAGAAATAAAGGACAATCTGGAAGAAGAGAAGTAAAAAGAATTGACATCAAAGAAAGCACAATCTTTATGCAAGCATGACATATTGATCTCCAAGACAGGATGAATAGAGACAACTTAAGGATTATAGGTCTCCCAGAAGAACTAGAGACATCAAAAAAAAAAAAAGCCTAAACACCATAACACAAGAAATAATATAAGAAAATTGCCAATAGCTTCTAATCACTGAAAACAAGGTGTCAGTAAAAATAATCCATAGGTTGTCTCCATTGTATTCAATTGAAGGAAAAACCAAAAAAAAAGAACAAAAACCAAACCAAATACTGCAAATTCTAAGACACATTGTGGTTAAATTTAACATTTCCACTGACAAATGACAAATTCTGCTCTCAACCAAGAGAAAGACTTTCAAACACGAAAGAAAGAAAATTTGAATATCGCAAGACTATTCTGCAGAAACAGAAAGAGAGAATGAAATAATGTATTCTGAAGAATAAAGATCAAGAAGGAAAAAAAGGTGACCTACCATGCAAATCTGAGTTCAGCTGTTATTGAAAAAAAAGATGAACATTCAATTTCTTTTAAAGGGCATTTGAAACATTTCTAGAGAGAAAATTAGACCTGAAGAAATTATTTGCTTTTCAAACACTGCAGACAAGAGATATAGAATAAGGATAACTAAATACAGCAATCAAGAACAACAAAACCAAAATAATAACAAAGAGACCATTAAGAGATTACTATCTAAATGTACTAAAAAAGACAAAGGTAGAAAGAATATAGAGACTAAAAAAGGGCTAAATAAGGATCAAAAATGAAACATCTAGAATAGACAGAGAAGAAAGACAAATACTGAAGAAAATGAGTCAAAGAAATCAGTGAATTATTATATGAATATTTGAGATGGAAAGCCCAAACTGAGGGGATAACAGACATATTGAAGTATTCATGAGAGATAGATTAGATTAGTAGAAAGAACTTTGAGTTTAGGGTCAACCCATAAAATAGGTTCTAATCTGGATAGAATTTATATCTAAATGATCTCAAAGAAATGAGAAGATATGCTTGAGTCACCTATTCCAATATCCAAAAATCCTAACAGTCTAAACCTTCTTTACATCTAATCTGAAGCCCTCCTGTTGCAGGCCAAGTTCCATTCCTGTTGTTTGGTCATTTGTGGTAACAAAATATAGCTAATCAACTGTATCTAAGCAACTGAAAGGAAGGTCAAAAGAAACGGTAGAGGAAAGGGAAAGAGTAAAAACAGAAGTATTGGTGTTTTGCTGCCCCCTTCTCAACACTGAGTCCTCTATTTTAGAAAACTACAAAAGGGACTGGTTATGGAGAGAAAAAGTAAATGGGAGTTAAGCCAGAAAAAGAGCATTTTTCTAGTCCCTGCTCATTCTCTATTAAATCTAGTTCTCAAAGTTTCAGTGCAGTATTGAGAGAGGTAAATGCTGCTTTGGTCCCATATCACCCTGTCATATAGCCTCTCAGAGGAGAGATGGTTTTTAAGCAACATAGCAGATTTGAGAATGGGAACTCAAAAAAGCTTTGATTTGGTTCCGTAGATGTTACTGACTGCAACTATCTTGACTTTCATTTTCATGATCACATTTAAAAAGTTAACATAAGTATTTTACCTTTGCCAGAGTTTGAGGTTTTGACATGTTTATATTTATGTCTTGACCTTGGTTAGGGATCTTCACTCCAAAAGACCATCCTCCAAGCCTAAAAATATTAAACATAGCAACAGGTACCTAGGCAACACAGTATTATAATATAATACAATATAACAGCAAATATAGTAAGTAAATAATGTAAAATACAATATGATACAAGTGAATATAATAAGTAAATATAATGCAAGTAAATAACAAAAAATATAATATAACAGTAAAGCATTTTCTTATAAAAATCCTAGCCTAAACTGACAGAATTAAAGGAGTTTATGATTGCACATTTTTGATATATCAGTCTAAGCTAAGATGTACACATAAATGGAAGCTTTGCACATAGTAGGCATCCTTCAATTGAATTCAATTTTACAGGTATTTGTTGGGCATCTGGTATATACAAGGTACTGTGCTATGTGCTTAGGGGAAAAAAAGACAAAAATGAAACCATTCATGCCTTGAAGGACTTAAGAATATAATATATAAATACATTTTAAAAAGACATGATGATATAATATTAGTAATATAATAATATAGTTAGCACTTATATACCACTTAAAAGTTTGCTAAGCCCTTCACAAATATTATCTCATTTTATCTTCACAACAATCCTGAGAGGAAGGTGATATTACTAGCCCCATTTTACAGCTAAGAAAACTGAAGCAAACATCAGTTAAGTGACTTTCCTAGAACACATAGCTAGAAAATGGCTAAGACTGAATTTGAATTCACATCTTCCTGAATTCAAGTCCAGTACTCTCTTCACTATGACATTTAGCTGCCATTTACTTTGAGGGGGAAGAAAGCCATAAAAATTAGGAGGATCGTGAAAGACTTCCTTAGAAGTTGGTACGTGCCTTCCACATCGTAAGTAGTTAAGAAGAGTCTATGGAATTGAAATTGTTATCTTGAATTTCTACAAACACAAATAAGGCACAGCATTTTTGAAATTTCATGTTTTGTTCAACTAGGGTAAAAGTCTATGCTATTTTTAAAAAGTCATGATTCTCAGCATCCAAAAATTATTAATGATTAGTTATTAGTGCCCAAGGATGGGGCCTTCCCAACAGCTTCCTCTTTTCCCCAAACTGTGGATAGATGGGGTAGATAGATAGAGAATAAACACAGAGTAGTTTTATACTTCACCTGCCCCTAGTCCTGCTATTTCTTGAAAGATATTCTCGTCCGAGTTGGAGATGATGAATAAAAAAATTAAGAATGAATAAAAAAATAACCTGTGTCTAGGGAAACTCAGTAATGAGGATTCAAGAAATGTCAGAGACTGCTTTTTCTGTCTTCTTCATTTAAGTCTGCTACCTTTGATAGGGGTGATTCAGAACAGAGCAAAAGATTTTCATCTGAAGGCTGTACCCAAAGGGAAAGAAAAATATCGTCATGGTTCATAGAAGCCTGGTCAATTGAATAAATGTTAAGAATTCCTATGTAATTTTAAGGAATTTCAGCATTATTTGGGAACATATCATTATTACATCAAGTTCTTAATACATGGGGTCTCTTACACCCTACTGATGCTTGTCCCTCTTGTATCCACCATAGTTAGTGTTGCTGGGTGATATTAATAGACTCCATTATCAGCAGTGATGACAGTAAGCAATAGAATACTACATCAGACCTCAACCTGTCTCAAGGATTAAGTCTGTACGTATGCAACCATTTGTTAAAAAGCTTGGATTCCAAAAACAACCCAAATTATTTATATACTATTTTAAAGTTACCTTGGTTTTTTTGAAGGCCACAATAAGAATTCTTCTACATCAAATGCTGAAAGATTAAACATAGTATTTCCCTTACTGTTCTTCAGGTAGGGAACACTGGTGTTCTCTTTTGGACATTTCTGAAATTTAAAAGAAGAGATAAATAGGAACTCATTTTAAACCAAAAGTCCTACAGGTTAGCCAACAGTTTAAGAAATTTACTACTATACTTCTGATCTGGATTTGACTTTTTATCTTTATCGTTTTAAAAATAAATTGTGCGGATTTTGTATATTTCAGATAACTAAAATCTTTATAAGGATTCCTGGAAATTCAGAATTTCCCATTGCAATTTTACTAATTAGTTATTACAAACCTTTTTAATGCATGTGAATTTGGAATCACTAGTAAAAATTGAAAACAAAAACTGTTTTCACAGTCAAGGTAATGACATTAATGAACCTAAGAGAAGACTTATGCTGGGAGGATTATAAAATTCAGTCAAAGTACAAACAAATGAGCCTCTTTCAAAAGTGTATAAAGGATATGAGTGCAATACAATACATTTTTCTTTTCTAATGAGAATGGGGTACTGACTTTGGAGCCAGAAGCCATGGAGTCAAATCTCACCTCTGATGATTACTGTGTGGTGTTTACCAAGTCATTTAACCTCTCTTGGCCTCAGTTTCTTCATCTGCAAGATAAGACGTTTTGGGGCACCTAGGTGGAGCAGTGGATGGAGCAGTGGATAGAGCACTGGCCTGGCCTCAGACACATAACACTTACTAGCTGTGTGACCCTGGGCAAGTCACTTAACCCCATTTCCTAGCCAAAAACAAAAAAAATGAGAGGTTTGCACTAGATAGCCTCAGAGGTCACTTCCGCAGTTCTAGGTCTATAATTGTTAAGACTTTAAAGGGATTTCCCTGATTCTAAGAATAGAAGTAATCACCTCAGAATATGAAACATGAAGAGCAGAATCAAATGGAAAATTTAACAGGTTCAAAGTATGATGCTTAAAAAGTGACAACACTGTGTGGTTGAATAGGCCCTGGATTTGGAGTCAGAGGCCCTGAATTCAATTACCCAGCTCTGTTATTTCTTAGCTGGGTGATTTTAGGCAAATCATTTAATTTCCTTTGTCCTCAATTTCCTCATCTACAAAATAAGGGTTTTAGACTAGATGACCCTATAATGTCCCTTGTAGCTCTAATCCTAAAATCCTATAATTTCACTGCTTTTGATAAGAGATTTTAGGCAAATACTACCTCTTAGAAATTTTTTTTTCCTACCCAAATTTCATTGATTCTATTATTCTGTATGGGTAGCCAGAGGGCACAGTGGATAGAATGCCATGCCTGGAATCAGGAAAACTCGTGTTCTTGAGTTCAAACCCAACCTCAGACAAATACTAGCTGTGTGATCCTGGGTAATTCACTTAATGTTGTTTGCTCAGTTTCCTCATCTGTAAAATAAGCTGGAAAAGGAAATGGAAAACTACTCTGGTATCTTTGCCAAGAAAACCCCAAAAGAATTCACAGACTCAGCTACGACTGAAAAACAATCGAAAAACAAATTAGTCTATATCCAATGAATGTACAGAGCCTAGTGTTTGCCTTTGATGACATTCAGTCCAAGTATTGGGTTCCTTAAATCTAGGACTTATAAGTGACCCTGGAAAAAGTTGAGCGATGGAGGTTATAAAAGAAAACTAAATTACTATGACGTTGCTAGAAAGTTTAGAAGAAAGCATTAGACTGACAGTCTAGAGATTTTTATCATATTTTAGGTTCTGTGACATTAGACTTATCAAATATTCAGGTTCTTCATCTATTAATAGATAGGACATTTGATGAGTCATAGAAACACTGTTTCTTTGGAGGACATCAGAGTTCACCTAATTCAAAACATATCTAAAATGAAATGCCATCTACACCATGCCTGAAATGAGGGCATCCACTAGCATTTAAAGCCCTCCACAATCTTATAGATAGCTATATTTTCTAGCTAGTGTTCTTTCATGCTTTTGGGATGTCTGTATTTCAGTAATAATTGTATTATTAATCATTTCTAATTTCATCATTCCCATGCCTCATGGGAATGATATCTTATGCTATTCCCCAGACTTTGCCAGGAAAACTCCAAATGTGGGTCACAAAGAGTCAGACATGACTGAAAAATGACTAAAACATTCAATTGAAGAGTTGAATCCCTGTCTTCTTCTTAATACCTAAGATTCCAGGGAAGAAATCAATATTTTCCTTGGGGGAAGGTAGAGAATTTTGCAGCCTGCAGTGTTCAAGGAGAAAATAGAAAATGATGAGCCAAGATGGTGCAGTAAGAGGTGAGTCCCTCTTACTCTCCCTTATTAACCCTGAAAGCCCAGAAAATACCACCCGAGGAGAAACCCAGAACAGCTGAACCAGAAGAAAGACGGGGCACAGCAATCCAGTAGCCAAGGTAGCTTCCCCTGAGGGAAGAGGAGCAGTACAGAATGGGAGGTGTCCAGGTAAGCTAGTGGAGGAAGAGATCTTGAAGCCCAGGTGGTGGAGCAGGCAAACACCAACACCTGGACCCCCAGTGCCTCATTGAGGAGGGGGAACTGGTAGAAACCAGCTCAGAAAACTAGCAGGTGCCTCAGCATTCTACAGCAACAGGCTCTCCCAGTGCCTCAGCAAAACTAAAGGAAGCAGCTCTCCAAGGGGCCTCAGGTGGAAAAACACTCTACAACATCCATCTGAAAGAAGCTGAAGAAAGCAAAAGGAAGGAAAGGCCTGGGTGACCAGGAAATCTCCAGGAGCCACACTACCCAATCCTACCCTAGAGTTCCAGTGTTGCTGATTCCAGCCCAACACCAGGTAAACTGCCAGAACCCTACAGCCTCCAACTGCCAACATTGGAGGCCCCAGAACACACACATCCATCAGCCAGGCCCTAAACTCCCAACACAAGAAGCTTGGGTCAGTGCCTTCTGCTCCCCAGCAGGACAGCTCAATCTCTTTAAAGGCCAGGAAATAAGCAAACACCATGAGCAAAAAGAAATGTATGATAGATTCTTATTATGGGAAGAGTGAAGATCAAGGCAGAAATTCTGAAGAGGACAACATTGTCAACAAACCCACATCTGGAACCTCAAAAGGGAATATGAACTAGTCTGAAGCCCAAAAAGCCTTCTTAGAAAAGCTCAAGAAGGATTTTGAAAGTCAAATAAGAGAGGTAGAAGAAGAAATGGGAAAAGAAATGAGAGGTATGCAAGAGAAAGTCAATAGCTTAGAAAAGGAAGGACAAAAATTAACTGTAGAAAAAAGTCCTTAAAAAATACAATTGGCCAACTAGAAAAAAAGTAAACTGAAAAAAACAAGTCCCTAAAAAATACAATTGGCCAAATGGAGAAGAAGGTACAAAATCTAATAGAAGAAAACAATTTGTTAAAAATTAGAACTGAGCAAATGGAAGCTAATGACTCTATGAGACAGCAAGAATCAGTCAAACGAAAATGTAAAATATCTCATTGGTAAAACAACTGACCTGAAAAATCAATCCAGGAGAGACAATCTAAAAATTATTGGTCTACCTGAAAATCACAATGAAAAAAAGAGCCTGGACAGTATCTTTCAGGAAATCATAAAGGAAAACTGCCCTGAGGTCCTAGAACCAGAGGGTAAAATAGCCATAGAAAGAATCCACCATCACCTCCTGAAAGAGATCCCAAATTGAAAATGCCAAGGAATATAGTAACCAAATTCCAAAATTACCAAGTCAAGGAGAAAATACTGCAAGCAGCCAGGAAGAAACAATTTAAACATCATGGAACCACAGTCAGGATTACACAGGACCTTGCAGCTTCTACATTAAAAGACCGTAGGGTGTGGAACATGATATTCCGTAAGGCAAAGGAGCTTGGATTACAACCAAGTCAACTACCCAGTGAAAATGAGCATGATCTTTCAGGGAGGAGATGGATATTCAATGAAATAGGGACTTCCATACCTTCCTGATAAAAAGACCAGAGCTCAATGAAAAATTTAATCTTCAAATACAAGACTCAAGAAAGACATAAAAAGGTAAACGAGACAGAAAGTAAAGGCATGTTATTAATAAGGGCAAACTCTTTACATCTCTGCAAGGGAAGATGACATGTGTAACTCTTGAGAACTGTGTTATTATACCATGTTAAAGAGGTATACATAAAGGGGGTGGGTATAAATTGGCTTTGATATAATGATATAGGTTAAATGGATCCAAGTAAGTGAATTAATCTGATCTAACTAAGAAAATGAACTGAGAGAAAAGGAAAGCAGAAGGCAGACAAGGGTAAATTGCATCACAGGAAAAGGCACAAAAATATTACAGCAGAGGGAAAGGGGAGAGATGAGCATTGTTTACTCTCATCAGATTTGGCTCAAGAAGGGAATAACATAATCAGTTAGGTATAACATGCCCTATAGGCAGTAGG